ACTCGCCTGTTGCTGATCGGACCGTCTCTTCCCTTTCTATTTTTTTTTTTTTTGTGGGGGGGACATTCTCAGCAGTGCAATGGTTCATGTCTTGCATATCATCCTGCTTTTTTCTATGTAAAGAAAATCAAAGACTGTTGTACTGTACCATGGATATTACAACTCCTAATTAATAAAACAAAGTTTTTATCAGGTTTCAGTTCATTTCTATTGAAGAAATATGTGATTTGGGGAGTCATGAGACGATGACATTTCTTTTAACGCTGACCGTATCTTGTGACCGCTGCCTGTGGTAACAGATTGAAAACAAACGAGCCTGATGGAGATTTATGGACGCACAAATAAAACACTGTGCTGGAAAGCCCTGAAGCTTTGAAGAGAAATGTTTCTACTTATTTTGTTACTGCAAGGCCTGAGATTCAAACTAGTTTTCTGCCATCTTGTGGTCAGACAGTGGTACTGCATCCATCAGAGCCATTTTACACAAAATTACTTTTCCCAAGAGTTCAGTAAAAAGTACTGAAGACTGTGAATATCTTAAATTATAATCCAGCAACTGATCCTAAAGTCATTTTAGCTGGAAGGTGAAACTTTTTGTCTTCAACTTCTAATTCTACATCAAACTGCAGCAACGTCTCAAGTTGGTTTAAAACATTTTTTTCCAGTGGATACAAAAGTATTCAGTGACATTTATTTGCTGTTTGATACAGATATTTTTCATAAATGTTTAGGAGTATCTAATACAGAGTCGAGAATTATTAATCTGGTTGCAAACGTACAATCTCTGCCTCGGTCTGTGAGATGTGACACGTCAGCTTTCATATCCTGGACTGTTTGATGAGCTCGATCCCTGCTGCAGCTTTACATGGAAAACTGTTAAATCAACTTATGTTTGTATAAGAAATACAATGTCTGATGAAAACTAGGTGTTAAAAAAGGTACATTTCAGTTGTAGATACTTTGCTGGTAAAGTACAACTTGTGTAAACTTTTTTTTAGTGCTGCAGATTAGTAACCGTATTTCACTTGGTGACACCATCATGACATTTGGCACAGTCTCCTGGACCTATATATGGCAGCACGGCAGCTTAGTGGTTGGGACTGTTGCCTCGCAACAAAAAAGTCCCAGGGTCTTTCTGTGGATTTTCTCCAGTCTCTCACAGTCAAAAAAATAAGTTTAAGCTGCCTTCAGGCCTGGATATCTTAAAAAAAATAAAAAATCTGTGATCTCAATGGGATTTGCCTAGTTAAAAGGTCAATAGTACAATATTTTCTTTGTAATAAAAATAAAATATCCACATGGAGTAACAGCTGGCTTTTTTTTTTTTTTTTTTTTTGACTACCATTCCCAATTTTTTTAAATTGACATTTTTGACTCCAGCATTTAAATTGGCATGACCAAAAAAAACATTTTGATGCAAAAACTGGAAATTTTAAATGATTCAATCGCAATTCAAGACCAAAAACCAATCGCCACAAGCATATTAATACCATAAAAAAGGAACTTTAACATCTTGTGTAGATCTATGAAAACGATTATCACTTGAAATATTTCATGGATTTTGACGAATTACAAAAAGCCACTGAAGTTTGACAATGGCACAACTATGCTCAACATTTTCACAAAGCTGTGCACACTGCACAGCTTTGCATGAATGGTTGAGCCAGTCCAATTTTACGAGGAAAAAGTTGAGATAAGTTTCTGGGTGTTTTTCAGGCCAAATTTGGTGCCAATATCACCAAGTGAGAGCCTTAAATAATTTTGACTTAATCTGCTGTGCTACTATGTGTGGATGATTTTTTTTTTATTAGAGTAGCTTAAAAATATATTTTCTGGAAATTCTCCAACAGTGAAAAAGCATCCAAAGTTATATGAAAAAAAAGTTTTGTAAAGCCTGAAGAAACATTGATCAAGACCATTTTCAAAGATGAGATGAAGAGATGGCTTAAGATTTTAGCACAGCTCTGTATGTTCTGTTTTATTCACAGAAGCTGTAAAAGATGCACTGAAGACTGTATCATAAATAACCCAGGGACGTCAGTCTGGTAGGAGGCTCACAGTTTGATGTTTTCTGTCATGCACCTGCCCTTTGGACCACAAAGATGAACCACATCATCCAAGTCCTTCAGCCACGGTCGGCACCAAGTTAGCCTAAAATGCTAACCTGACCTGAAACTCAAACCTGAAGTCAGCGCAGACCCTTTCACGTCCTGCACCCATCACCTGGCTCACTCTGGGGAAGCTAATTTAGCACGATGTCTTGGGTAACGGTTTTCCTGGGAGCTTCGAGTCACCACAGTTTCACATCAATGAGCTCCAGGTCTCCCATGATCTCCAGCTGGTCGATGCTGCTCAGGTCCTGGACTCGATGTCTGAACTCAAACAAGTGGGCTCCGTTCACAGCCAGCTTGAACTGATGGGGCTGACAGAGGAGGAGGATCTGAGGAGGAGAAAACGTGCTGAGCCATCCCAGAATACACAAATGGACATAAAATTAAACCCATTAAGCTGTTGGTTTTTCTTACCTCGAAGTATTCCCCGGACGAGAAGGGAAAGAACGGTTGCTCCCGCTCCTCTTGACCCCAAGATTCATCCAGGTACGAGTTCCTGAAGAACACGCCCGACTTCATTCGGGGGTTCAGGTGGAGAGCGATGTTCTGTGTCTTACTATTGCAGAGGTTTACAGTAAAACTGGAACAAATGTAAAGTAGATTAAAATGATTACTTTTCTAGGATTATATTCTACGGAGTCCTTAAGAGAACATTGATGAAAAAAAAAAGATTAAGTTTCTTATGCACAAAGTGGTGCTTAGCAAGCTCGCTTTAAACCAAAACTACTAGAAAATGGATTGAGAAGAATAAACATCCAACTATAAGACAACTTGTGTTTTTCTATGGCCAATTCTGAACGTTGTAGATCAGGGCCAACAATACACTTTATTTTTAGTCAATCTGTATTTTTCATTTCACAAAATATAATTGCTCAACTTAAAAGGTAAATTCTCAACCTTTAGAAAGATTTGTACTCAGAAATAATATCTAGATGAGCATTCTTGCCTAAAACTAAATTGTTCTGCAGCTTGCTGCTGCTCTCCTACTTGGTCGTTGATTACTCAGCATGGCCGACAGCAGTTTTATTTTTTGTCTGTCAAATAGTCGGTCTTTATAGCCAAATATCCTGAACACAAAATAATCCTGATAAAGCTGTTCAGTAACTCATTAAATATAATTTATGCTTCAATAAAAATATAGTTCAAATGACTTATTCTCCAAACCAAAACAGGATGCTGAGCGTCACTGATATTCTCTTGGGTTACACAAAGTATATTGTAAGTTTTGATATATTCTGAAGTACTATTCTGTATCTTGTTACTCGTTTTGTTTTTATGACGTGCGCTGCTGCCTTTTCTTGGTCAGGTCACCCTTGTAAAAGAGGTCTTGATCTCAGTGGGGGTTTTTATCTGGTTAAATAAAAGGTTTAATAAAAAAAATAAAAACATTTTCTGGTGTGCATGACATATTACAAAATACTAAAACCTCCAACTTATTTTTTTACCCCATCATTTTTGTAGTATTCCACAAAAAAATTAGTAAGAAAAATACAAAATTATGAGTAAAATTAAACAAAACTTAATACACTGCCTGGCCAGAAAAAAAAGTCATTAATATTTCGTTGGGGCGCCTTTATTTTTGATTACATCATGCATTCACTGTGTCATTGTTTCAATAAGCTTCTGCAATGTCACAAGATCTATTTCCATCCAGTGTTGCTTTAATTTGTGACCAAGATCTTTCATTGATGACTAGACACTAGACATGATGGGTGCATCACTTCACCTGCCTCTCTTCTTATCCTGATGCCTCCATCACTCTGGAACAGGGTCAATCTGGACTCATCAGACTACATGACCTTCCATTGCTCCAGAGTCCAATCTTTATGCTCCCTAGCTAACTGAAGCCTTTGTTTCCAGTTAGCCTCACTGATTAGTGGTTTTCTTACTGCTGTTCAGTCTCAATTCTTCGGAGTTCCCTTCACAGTGTGCGTGTGGACATGCTCTTACTTTCACTATTAAACACAGCCCTGAGTGCTACTCTTGTTCTTCTTCCATTTGATTTCACCAAACGTTTAAGTTGCCGATCACGATCATTCAGGATTTTTTTCCGGCCACATTTCTTCCTCGAAGACGATGGTCCCCACTATCCTTCCAGTTTTTAATAATGTGTTGGACAGTTCTTAACCCAATTTTAGTAGTTTCTACAATCTCCTTAGATGTTTTCTCTGCTTGATGCCAATGATTTGACTCTTCTCAAACTGACTGACATCTTGTCCACGACCACATGATGCGTCTTTCAACATGGTTGTTCAAGAAACGAGAAGCAACTCATTGCACCAGTTGGGGTTAAATAACTTGTTGCCAGCTGAAAGATAATCGCTCATGCAGGAATTATCCAATAGAAGGCACGTACTATTTGCTTAGTTAAATCCAGGCGGTGACTTTTTTTAGGTCAGGCAGTGTAATTAATTACAGCTTCAGTGTTGCCTCTACATCATTTTTAACTGTTTGGTATTTGGACGATAATGAATGCACCTTTTATTAAATAAAAACACCAAAGATGTTCAAACAGACTGAGATCTGGTGACTGAACCACAGCTTTTAATTCACATTATTTTCATATAATCTTTCAGTGGCTCTGTGTAATCTACAAAGGCCAGGGTTGAAAACACCACCCTCTAATCAGGAGACACACTTCAATGTAAAAAGTTCCCTCAGAACAACTTACTGGTTCTAAGTGACCCTTATTTACATAAATCCCATTGGAAGGTGTTTTTCTCTATAATTTATCACGTATGTGTGTTGGTTTTATTTATTCCTTACCTGTGAGGGTACATGCTGACCTGCCCCTTTATTGTGATGTGCTGTCCTGGGCTCAGCCCTTTCAGTATACTGCCTCTGTAAGGGACGCTCTGAAATGACAACATGACGTCACTATTGGAGCTTGTGTGACTTGAACTTTGAGCAGCATGTCATGCACATGACAAAAGCAGAAGTTCTTGAAACTTGAGTAATGTAGTGACCGTTAACCAACACGAGTCGTAAAGTTACAGCCTGGTGAATAATCAGCTTTTGGTTCATGAACCCATAAAAAATTTAGTAAGTGTGATCCAGTTTTTTTATGGTATCACAAGACGCCAGGAACATCCCAAGAAAAGCAGTTTATAAATATGATTTTAAAAAAAGGGAAACTCACCAAGTCCCCTGATTCTGAATAAATTGCCTAAGGGGGTAAACGAATAAAATGAGAAGTTATTTCAAGAAGAAAAATCTATAAAACAATCAAAAATAGCATTTCTTAAGGCAACACAAATTGTCTCCTGCGTTGCACGCCAAACAAAAACCCATGTTGGCACTCTGTATGTGTTGGGCACTGATATAGAAATTATTATTTTAATGCTTTTATGTCAATCTAGACTTATATTATACTTATTTAAACACACTTATACTCACTTTTGATGCAGCTTATCTGCTTATTCAGTCATTCCTGTGCTGCAGATGTGTTTTGGAGTAATTAAAGTCCTCCGGGGGATGCTCTAACCAGAAGATTGGGGCCCCATCTTCAGGTTACAGTGACCCAGGTTTTGAAGGACATGTTTATATGAAATCGCTCTGTTGCACAGATTGCTTTGATGAAGGAAAAACAGATTTAATTAAATCTGTTCTCCTGGCAACCATCAAAACTTGCTTTGATCTGCTCTCACATGATCCGGTCAGGGAAGAAAAGTATAAAGGAAGTGTGACAGGCAACTTAATCTTTGGAAGTCCGGTGTGGATCAGCACGCGCTGAATGCCACATGTGCCATTTTGATGTGATTCTCCTTTACCTGGGTCGAAAACGACTTCCCGGCCAGTGTCACGGTGAGAAGTTATTTCATATCAATCTGTGTTAAGAGTGTACGAGTGTACATGTTTGTTTTTTGCTCGGTTGTTTTCTGTGGCAGGATAATAAAGGACACTAATTTATCCTAGCAGTAACAGCTTCTGTCTTTTATTTTTTTCCTATTTGTCTGAATATCTGTGCCGACCGTTCACGAGCCCTTTTGATAAAGAATTTCACAATACAGGCACATACTAAGAGTAGTGAGCGTACTACACATATGACTCTCAGCTACTATCATAACAAATTTTAAGTCAATATCTGTAAAAATAACTTTTTTTGTACTTGTCAATTAGCTTGAAGTACTCCGTTGTCGATGTGTGCCCAATGACTACAATCTGGGAGTTTTATTAAAATAAGGCCACTAGCTCACGAGATATTTTGTTAACAGACACAGACATGATCATACACCTTTCAAGGCAGTGCCTGATTAAAAAGAAAGTTAAAAAATGGGAATTCACTTACTGAGTTTGGGATGTAGCCAAGAGCGTGGACTCTCACATTCCCAGAAATGGAAAATGTGTCCACCCCGTCTAGAGGAATTCTGTGTTTGAAGTCCAGCAGGTGGGTTCCATTTACTGCCACCTACAGGTGAGGAGAGCTGCGGTTGTAATAACCAACTTTGTTTTTCATGCTGAGGACGGCCTCACGTACCTTAAAACCGTCTTTGTGCACCAGGATGATGGTCTCGAAGGGGGCGCCTCGTTTGTAGGGCAGCCGGTGGAGCGTCTCCTCTTTCCCCCAGCTCTCCTGCTGCAGGGAGTTACACACCACACAGGGGGGGTCCATGAAGCGAGGGCTGAAGTGGAACGCGACGTCGGAGCGAGGTTTGGTGCTGCAACCACTCGACAGGTCCACCTGGAACCTGCAAGGATGACAAACACAGGATGGATCACAGCACTGAAATAAAGCTCAATAAGAACCAGATATCAATGCTTGCAGATTATTTTATGTTCTGGTTAAACTTTAAAACTTTGTTTCATTCATTATTACCTGCTGCCAAATGTAACGCGGTCATATTTTGACCTTTCTGTGTTTTTCTCTTCACCGATGGCAAAATATCTCATGAGCCAGCAGACAGATTTTATTAATAAAACTCAGAATGTAATCGCTGGCTAAACATCTACAACTGATCAAGTTTTCAAGTCAACTCTATTAAAGAAGTCTGACACAGCTAATCAACCTTAGCGTACACAACTGGTTATACCACTGAATTTTTGTTACGGGTTTGGCAGTAGATGAGTCATTAACACGTGCTCCAAGCCCTGAGAAATTATGCAGGATCTCACAATATCGCATGAGATGGTGCACGACGTTATTTTGAAAGTTTAACTAAAACGGCAGTAACTTGTCATTTCCCAACATGAAATGATCTCGGTCTAAAATTCTGGCATGACAGGAGGCAGGAGCAAGGCATTAATTCAAGGAATACGTGTCCATTAACTATATTTATGTCTGGCCATTTTATATTATGCATTTCATGTCACAAAAAAGGTTTATATACAGAAATGTGTGCAGCAGAACAGGAGACATTCATGTCCATCTAGAAACGTTACACCAAAGAGAAGTAATGAAAGTCAATATACGTGACAGAAAACCTGTGACCATAAAAAGAATAAACCAATTATTAAAACAATCGCACATGACTAAACACGAAGACACCATGTAAAGATCTACAACCATCACTGAAAACCAGGACAGACGGTTAACAGAGACGAAACGACTGAAGTTACATCACATGAATGACTAAGTGGGACAAAATACGAGTTATAAAATGTCCAAAGACGTGAAGAGTTGCCATAAAGCAACAAAACGTTACAACTGTCAAGCTGCATCTGTAAACCTGACTGAGCTACATCCATTTTTTATTGACTAATGGTGATTAGCTGTGGCAGCCATCTTAAATTGGAACAAGTTCATATGTTCATTTATTGATTACTATCAGTGTTTCAATAAAATCTGTACTCTGGCTGATGAGATATTTTGCCATTGCATACACAGACAAAAACACGATGACCTTTCACCTTCTGCAGCAGGTGATGAGCAGCAGAAGGACCAAACTGCTAAAACTCCTGTCATACCAAAAACATAAAATTAAATAAATGTAGCCATGAGACAAAAAAAAAAATTCCCATATTGTATTTAAAAACTCTTTGTGTACAGCTAAAATGATAAAGAAAAAAATCTAACAACTTTCTTCAAAACTGTTACAATTTTAGAGAAATTAAAAAAAAAAGACAAATTACACCAAATGACCCGATCAGATCATCCAGATTCAAGGGCTTCAATCAAATTGTCATGAAAGTTGCTCAGAATTCAGAAAAGTAAGAGTTCATAATAAATTTTTATTTTTCATTTAATGAATCCTGTACGTTCGACGAGTGACTTTTGATAAGTGGAATCTGAGCCAGTTGAGTAAAGTCACCTGTCCCAGTGAGCAGGGATTGTAACGTACAGTAGTATGAAACAAAAGCTTCAAAACATGCTTCGAACCCTGCAGTGAAATTACATCGAACCACTGCTTCGGGGCCTGTTTTGGTGTGGAAAAAGTCACGTGACACCCGAAACACAAACTGTTTCGTTGTCGGAATGAATCGCTTGACTGGTTCGCGGTCCAAACAGCCGATTCTCTGGCACCGCCTCGTCTCGATTCTGACAGGTGACAGGTCGAGACAGTTTTGAATTGAGAGCTCAACACTATGAAACATTTTAGAGCCATTTCAATGTGTTGGAGAGTACGTGTGTTTTTGCTGTTAGTTTAAATTGAGTAATTATGGAGGCAGCCAGGAAAAGAGATCGTTCCAACACGTGGGAACACTTCATTCTGCTCAAAAGGTGGTTTTGGTATTTAAACGTCAAAAAAGTTATAGTTCAATAGTGAAGATATTCTAACTGTTTTTTGTTACTTTTCTTTTTTTTAGCCATCCTATTTGTTAATTTTTTTTTTTTATTAAAAAAATCTGTATGCCTTTTTATATTTGTCTATTGTTGTCATCATTCTTTGCTGAAATCAGGTCCCTCTTGTAAATGAGTCCTCGAGGCTCAATGGGATTTACCTGTATAAATAAAGGTTGAATGAAAAAAATATTATCTAACCCATTTAACCCACGTATTTAATATAATTACAGTAAAATGATGTATGTGATTTTAATAATCATATATCAGTATGGGTTCAATTTTTTTTTTTTTTTTTTTACATTAGTGTATTTGTGCAGGTGCAGTGTTTGGTGTGTTCAACTGAAGCATCATGATACCTCCTCTATGATTAGACACTTCAGCGCCAAACATGGAGATGCTGGAGACGTCATTTCATTGTTATTTTAAGAATGATAAAGACTCGGACTCTGCCACAGTTACACAAGCACAATACCATTGCAACATTTTAATTAAGTCTCTTCGATGCACATTTATCAATCTTTATTCAAAAACGTGTAAGCACGAATAAATTTGCAAACAAGACAACATAGAAAGTTGATGACTTTAAAAAAAAAAATCTGTTTTTTGCCACAGTAAAGTAGTTTCTTTAACACTAGTCACTGAAGTTTTTCAGTGTGTGCCACTAAAAGCAAAATGCCACAAGAGGTCACTGTAACTGAAGCTTCAACAAATTAACCTATTTTTGAAACAATTGGCCCAACTGGTTCAGTGCTTCATAAAAGCTTCATTTGCTCATCACTAACGTACAGTACCTACTAAATGTTTTTACTAAACTCGACTACATTTTTCTGTGGTTTGATGGCATTCGCTTTTTTCTGCCGTCCATCCATTTGTTTCATGAGAGACAAATGAATCCGGATTATTAAAAGCTGCAGTTTCATAGTAGGTGACCTAAAAAGTTCTGTAAATGTCCATACAAACTGGCCTGTTTTGCAGCAGACATTTTGACTTGGAGTAGGGGAGACTGAGGTGTTTAAAAACAGCTGGATTCCATTTAGCTGATGCTCTGCTCATTAGCATATTCACAGAAATGCAGGTGTAGAAGTGGGACGCAGCCCTCATTAACACACCTGTGCTCCCTGATTAAGTCCAAATGTCTAACAGGAAACAGTTGCAAGTATGTTTAAAATAAAAATTAAATGGAGATTAATTCTAAAAAAAAAAAAAAAAAAATGTCTTACCTATCAGCATCTGGGGGCACAGTCCCCTGGATGATGACGATCTCCCCGGGGTGAAGGCCTCCGGGTATGGGTCCAGTGTAAGGGGTCACCTGATGAGGAGGGGGACGTCAAAGCATTGTGGTGGATAAAATTATCAAGGCTAAATAAATGCTAATAATCCTCAAAGGGCTCTGAAAGCTTTAGCTCACAATGCAGCTAAGAATACACCAACTGTTTGGGCTCAGTTACAAACTACGTCAGGGGGGTTCATGTTGCATGAACACTAGTAACAGGGAGCGGATATAAATAAACCGGTTCTTACCGGGTTCAGAACCGTGTGTTTCGCCTTGGCCACCGACATCAGGCTCCTCTTATCAAACTGCGACACGCAGCTTAAAATAGAACTGACATTGGGTTTTATCTGCGCCAAACGGAGCTAGTTTTTTAGCTACAAGCCGACGACAGCTGTGGACTCTCCATTAACGTCTAACGAGCTGCGCATGCGCGATCCCTGTCACGTGACACTGAACAACAACAACACAGCCATGCAGAAGAATCAGACTCATTAAGCCAGAGGAGCAGAAGTTATGGGTTTTGGTGAGTGGACTGACTTTATTTTATTTTTATTAAACCTGTTGGGACTTCCCTACTACCATGTTTTGTTTTTTAAGCGACGAGGCAAGAACAGATCTTACAACTTGTGCTGGTTTATGTGAACACTTAACATTTAACTTCAGATGTTCTGCATATTTCAATGGTCTTTGCACTGAATAGGAAACAATGTTTCAATTAATTGAATGTGTTTATTGAAAACGTCTAAGTTTGCATTATGTTTTGACATCCAAGCTCTAAAACGTTGCGTCTGCAAAGATTTAATTAGTTTTTCAAAGTTTTTCACCCCTGCTGTTTACACATGATGCTTCTCAGTGAAACTTGGTATTTTTAACTCTTTGAGGGGAACAGTGGAAAGAATAACCTCTACACAACACTGTCTTCTTGATTCCTTACTTTTTTAAGAATTGATAATCTGTAGACATGCTTTCGCACGTTCATCTTGTAATCTAACCTCCTCCAGAGCTAGTAAGTTTTCTACCATTTAATGTTCTTATAATGGAGGTGAATTTTATCTAGACGCAGATCCAGCTGTGGGTTTCATCTGTTTATGTTTCAGGAAAAACTCTTGCCATCACAGGCAGTGCAGGTATGTATTTTGGATTCTTCCTCAGATGTCTCATTTTCTCTTCCTTTCACACTCTCTGGATTTTGACTTGTAAATCATGCAAAATTGTTAATTTTCAATTATGCGTTTTCTTTATAAGCTGTAATTGCAAAGTCAGCCTTACACGTGTTGCTAAATGCATAGATGCTTTAGATTAGAATGTATTAATGTTTCTTTTATTTTTTGCATTTTAACTGACCGCACCTATGAACCAACTGGTTAAACAGATTCACCAAGTGTGCAAACATACAGGTTTAATTAAAAATGCACCAAGCACCATAGGGAACTGTGCTGGGGTGGATATGGCACAAGGAAGTTCTTCTCACATTACCTCACAACCAAATAGAAATCCTGTAAAGTAGATGGAAGTCTTGCAGCCAGATCCAGCCTAGACCAGAGGAATGTTTTAATTGGTTCCTATAATTATAGGCTGTAGCCATTTCTTACTGTATTTTTCTACACATATCTGTAATGTGTTGCTAACGGGGTGAAGTGTTTTTTTTGGGGAAAAAAGGCTTCTTCTTTTTTTTTGTAAAGAAACTACAAACCGGATTCCAAAAAAGTTGGGAAACTAAACAAATTGTGAATATAATCTGAATGCAATGATGTGGAGATGGCAAATGTCAATATTTTATTCGTAATGTAACATAGATGACAGATCAAAAGTTTAATCTGAGTAAATGTAACATTTTAAAGGAAAAATATGTTGATTCAAAATTTCAGTGTCAACAAATCCTAAAAAAGTTGGGACAAGTAGCAATAAGTGGCTGGAAAAAGGAAATTGAGCATATAATGAACAGCTAGAAGACCAATTAACACTAATTAGGTCAATTGACAACATGATTGGATATAAAAAGAGCTTCTCAGAGTGTCAGTGTCTCTCAGAAGCCAAGATGGTAAGAGGATCACCAATTCCACCATTGTTGCGCAGAAAGATAGTGCAACAATACCAGAATGGTGTTACCCAGCGTAAAATAGCAAAGACTTTTAAGTTATCATCATCAACCGTGCACAACATCATCAAAAGATTCAGAGAATCTGGAACAATCGCTGTGCGTAAGGGTCAAGGCCGTAAAACTCTACTGGATGCTCGTGATCCCCGGGCCCTTAAACGTCACTGCACCTCAAACAGGAATGCCACTGTCAAGGAAATAACAGAATGGGCTCAGGAATACTTCCAGAAAGCATCGTCAGTGAACACAATCCACCGTGCCATCCGCCGTTGCCAGCTGAAACTCTACAGTGCAAAGAGGAAGCCATTTCTAAGCAAGCTCCACAAGCTCAGACGTTTGCACTGGGCCAGGGGTCATTTAAAATGGAGTGTGGCAAAATGGAAGACTGTTCTGTGGTCAGATGAGTCACGATTTGAAGTTCTTTATGGAACACTGGGACACCATGTCATCCAGACCAGAGAGGACAAGGATAGCCCAAGTTGTTATCAACGCTCCGTTCAGAAGCCTGCATCACTGATGGTATGGGGTTGCATGGGCAGCTTGCATGTCTGGAAAGGCACCATTAATGCAGAGAACTATGTTCAGGTTCTAGAACAACATATGCTCCCATCTAGACGTCATCTCTTTCAGGGAAGACCATGCATTTTTCAACACGATAATGCCAGACCACATTCTGCAGCAATCACAACATCATGGCTACGTAGAAGGATCCGGGTACTGAAATGGCCAGCCTGCAGTCCAGATCTTTCACCTATAGAGAACATTTGGCGCATCATAAAGAGGAAGGTGCGACAAAGAAGGCCCAAGACGATTGAACAGATAGAGGCCTGTATTAGACATGAATGGGAGAGCATTCCTATTTCTAAACTTGAGAAACTGGTCTCCTCTGTCCCCAGACGTCTGTTGAGTGTTGTAAGAAGAAGGGGGGGATGCAAAATGGACTTGTCCCAACTTTTTTGGGGATTTGTTGACGCCATGAAATTTGGAAACAACAGATTTTTCCCTTAAAATGATACATTCTCTCAGTTTAAACTTTTGATCTGTGATTTGTGTTTTATTCTGAGTAAAATATTAGATGTTGGCACCTCCACATCATTGCATTCAGTTTTTATTCACAATTTGTTTAGTGTCCCAACTTTTTTGGAATCCGGTTTGTATTAAGAAAACTATACTGTTGGATATTTCTCATCCATAAGCCGTAGGAGGAGTAGGAGCAGTGATCGCTGCTCCTGTAGTGCTGGGAGCTGTGGGTTTCACCTCAGCTGGGATCACAGCTGGCTCCTACGCTGCAGGCATGATGTCTGCTGCTGCCAGTGCTAACGGAGGAGGAGTGGCTGCAGGAAGTCTGGTGGCTCTTCTGCAGTCTGCAGGTATTTAAAGTTATTAGGTTTTTGAAACATTTTATTGGAATTCAACGAGGTAAATTATGCAAAGACAGTTTAACCCCTCGCCTGTAAACTTTTAAACTTGAGTTTAAGGTAAACACCGTGAGGTTACTTCTGATTCTCAGCTTCTCTGTCACTTTTTTTATTTTTATTTGATCAGACCTGTTGTTTTTTTTCTGCAGGTGCTGCTGGTCTGTCAGCAACCGCCAATGCTGCTGTGGCCAGCATCGGAGGCAGCATTGGAGCTGGAATTGGTTGGCTAGCAAGTATTTTACAGGACGAAGAGGGGAAAAAAAGAAAGGAGGAGGAGGAGGAGGAGAAAAAAAAGATTTTCTGGGTAACAGTCCTACCTGCACTGATCATATTGTACAATGGCTTAAACGGACATGGTTTGTCCTTGACCAGCATTGCTGCTGTGGCCTGCGTTGGATCTGGTGCTGGATGGTTGGCAAAACTCTTCCAGAATAAAAGGCAAAAAAGAAAGAAGGAGGAGGAGGAGGAGGAGGAGGAGATGGGAAAATATGTTTTAGGGTTAGCTGCACTGGCACTTGTTTCATTTGTTTACTTAAACAGGAGTTCTGTGAGGAGAGGCAGACGGAGAAAGTCCTAAAACACTAAGATATCAGAGTTTCTGCATCAGCTGCTGATTGTTTTGCTCTAAACCTCTGAAAAGAAAGATCCTGTGTTCAAGCTGTAAGACTCAAACTAGACTCTTCTCAAAGCATGAGTTGATATCGTTTGGTTCAAACCGTGGGACTGTTTTCATCTGTGTAAAATATATTAATGACAATATATTAGGCATATATATGCATAATTTATTTCCAAGTTATGTGTAAATTTGGCTTTCAGTGGTTTATGATAACCTCAGCTCACATCACTCCTCTCATCTTAGTGGACTGCTGTTAAATTTTATAGGGTGGTTGTTTAAAGAGCCAAACTGTTTTCACATTGTTTAGCTAATGCTGTAATGCAGCAAATGCAGTGTAAGAGACATGAAATACCTGAATATTTCATTTTTACCACATTTCTGCCTTGTTTGTTCACTGCGTTTATTAAAGTGCCATAAATCTATCTAAAAATGGAAAATGATTGGCCCGTTTCTTTTATCTGGTGTGTTGTATGAAAATAAATCAGTTTTAAAATGTGCTTGTGTGCTACCACATGCCCATAAGAAAATGCCAAACAAATTAAAGTTTTTGCTTTTTCATCAGCATGATCATGTATTTTAAACCAGAATTCTGTAAGCTAAGGAAATGCTCTGTTTAGGTGTTTAATCGTGATCACAAATCACTGACGGAGCCACAGGGGTGCCCGGGGTGGCATTTGCCCCATCCCTGACACCTGATTCCCTGAAGTATCAGTAATCTGTGCATAGTATCTGTTCAGTTTGTTTCCCTGGGTTTCGTTTTTTGTTTTTTTTTTGTGTTTGTGTGCGCTGCTATGTGTTGGCTTTTTTAGGTTGTTAATAAAATTTTAAGTTTTCATTTTTAATGCCTTGCCTCCATCTGCATCTGGGTCCATCTGCAAAACACTCTGCCAATCTTAACAGGAAGTGCCTGCTGAGGCTAACCTTTTCCCACCCCTGCCAGAAATGGAAACTTGTATTTTCACACACAAGTGAACACGATGCCTATGTACACCAGTAAGTTTATGCATCCTTCTTCAGGGGTTGCCACAGAAATCTCTCACAAAGACTTAGTGATGGCTTTTACGCCAGATGCCCTGACTGATGCTACCACAGCCCTCTGTGTGGAGCAGAGATCTGCCATCTAGCGTGCCCAGGGAAGCAGATAGTGGAGGTTAAGGGCCTTGCTCAAGGGCCCAGAGTAGGGCAAAAGATTAAATGTTCCAAACTCGCATCTTAACATTTCATGAACAAAACAATAAGTCATCAAACTTAAAACAATTTTTTTATTTAATTTAAAAAAAAAACTGATCAAGGCTTTCTGAGATGTTTTCAGATGTTGGCTTCAAGTCGTGCTGGACATATTTTTGTTCATTTAATTGCAACAACTTTATCTGTTCCTGTTCTGCATTTGACCAATTTTTCCAGAGAACCTGTGTCCAAACATTTTCTCAATGAACAAACCAGTTGATTTTCCACTGTGAGTTGATGGTCTCGTTTTCCTTTTATGCCAAAACTTAAATGATCAGAACTACTTAGACATTTGGACTTCACCTGGAAGTATGAGTCGTCTGGGTCCTTTTCAACACTGAATGTGACCTCCAGCCGACCTCCCTAACATCCAGCTGTTGTATCCTTTGCCCTCATCCCATCTTCCAATGGATTTGTGAAAAGGATTTTCTCTCATGAAAAACAAGTGGACTGATGTGTGAAATAATTAAAAAAAAACAAATGTTCTTCTGAACTAATTAGAAGTGAGCTCATCATCAGTCATGAAATGTCTTGCTCAAGAGTTTTATGCTCTGAAAAACAAACCACTCCTTACTGTGGCACAAGCTCAACAGAAATACAAATGGAAGAAATGGGTTGACTCCACATGATGGAGCATTGCCCTTTTTAGTTTACAAGTTATCTTTTTACTACACATTTCCTACAAACTTTTACACTAAATGCATTATTACACAGATGTTCTTATTGTCTTCTGTTAATACCGTTTTAAGCTAAGCTGAACAGAAGAATGTTTAAGGAAGATAAATTGTTTTTAGAAAGATTTTACTCTGGTAATTTTATTTGCACTCAAACTAAATTGTTAACTTGTGTAATAAATAATGTTCTATGCATATTTTTATCATTCAAAAACATGCATCCAATTAAATCCAGGTTCATTTCAGAGCAAGAAAAGCGGAGGGGGGGAAGGGGTGAAATGGGGTCAGCCTGCCATGAGGTGTCCCTTATTTATTTTTCCAAGGAGTTGGCAACCCTATGTCTGTTCAGATACACGTCACGAGTGAGTCACAGAATGCGGAAGTTCTGGTAGGGGAACAGATTATTTCGGGGATACCAAATGTGGCACGACACCGGCATGCTCGCGCTTACTGAACTGAACTAAGGAAGTGTGCTGGTGAAGATTCTCAGTCATCCAGGACATGATGAATTCAAAAAGTGTTCAATACAAAAACAACTGGACTTTATTTGTAACAGAAGACGTTTCGCTCCTCATCCGAGGAGCTTTCTCAATTCAAAGAGCAGAGAGTGAGGGGTTCAGGTTATAAGGCTGAGTGAGATAAGACACACACACACACATAAGTAGATTGGCAGTTCACACCTAAACACCTTAACAGTAGGTCTTTGTTCATCTAATTCACAGATGAGGCCCCTCTGTTCCCATCAAGTGTGAAAACCGGCTGGGAATCTGTTTTAAAGTTGCATTATATGTTTTTGAAAGTGGAAATCTGAGGCCGCCTCCTCTGTTAAGAGACGGTTTTTCTCTTTTTACATAAATTGCTTCCTTCACCCCCCTCTCAAACCATCTGTGTTCTCGGTCCAAAATGTGCACATTTTGGTCCTCAAAAGAGTGTCCCTTATCTGTGAGATGGAGGTGAACAGCTGAGTTTTGTCCTGTGGAGGTGGCTCTCCTGTGTTGAGGCATGCGTCTGTGAAGAGGCTGTTTAGTTTCTCCAATATAGAGGTCTGGACAGTCCTCACTGCACTGGACCACATACACTACACCACTCTGTTTGTGCATGGGTGTTTTGTCCTTAGGGTGGACCAGCCTCTGTCTGAGAGTCCTGCTGGGTTTGAAATGTACTGGGATCTTGTGTTTGTTGAAAATCCTTCTGAATTTCTCTGATACTCCAGCAACATAAGGGATGTGTTGTAAAATAAAATCTGTTTCTGCTTGTACAATTTCTAAAGCTTAAAGTGTGACTAGTATACTTCCTGTTTCTTATTTGTGACAGCACCCACCCAACCGGACTTTGCACAATACACGTTGAGCAAGTGAATATTCTAGAAGCTAGAGTGAGTCACTGCCCTATACACGTTGAGCAAGTGAACATTCTAGAAGCCTTGACCAAGCACCGCCCTAATTTAGACTATAGCTGAGCAGCACTTCCTCTTTCAGCAGACAACGCAGAGCAAGGGCTGACTTCAGATCACTCTTACAGGTTGTATCGTTTGTCTCCATTGAATGCGCATTCAATGTTTTATTTTGTACTTTAACTAACATTTAATCAAATACAAAAGTAATCTGTGACTGTTAATCATTTAATTTATTAAATTTGATTATTGAATTTAAAGAGGGAACCAATTCCCCCTTTGGACCTCTAAACCAGAGGTCCAAACCTTTAAAATAAAATCAGCAATCTATCTGCTGCGGCGAGGAACCATCTCAAAGTCCTCAAGGTCATACCCTCTCCGCATGAGGAGTTGACGGGTGATTTCTGGGTCTCTCTTCTCTAAAGTGGATGTGATAAGGCGCACTGTCAGTGACCTCAGGCAAGGGATGCAACAGCAACCACAAGTAATCAGATTTGGACAAAATATAAAATGTATATTTTAAGTGTAAAAATAAGATGTATATTAGTAAAGTTTTTATAAAAATGAAGAATTTAAAATCTGAATAAAATGCAATACAAAATGTCAAGTGAACATATAGAATATAAATGCAAGTGTAGGCTAGTGGTACGAACGAAAACTCATAATATATATGACGAACTTATAAGACTTCAATTCCTCCTCCAGCAGCAAGGCAGTTGTCTCCCTTGAACACACAAAAAGAGAGTACAAAATTATTGCTATGAAAATTGTTATCAAAAAATGCTTCAAAAGGTTAAAAAAGATCAAAATGTCAATAAAATATTAGTACGACATCAGAATGTGCCACACGTACTCAGGGGCATTCCCCTGGGGTGCTCAGAGATATTGAATCCTCCTATGTCTCTGAGTTTTCTTCGTGGAATGTGAGACTCTAATTATGTAGTGTTTCTGTCGATTCTAAGTGTCTGTACTATGTGTAAATATTCCAGCACCGAGTGGCCCCCTTCAACAAAGTCCTTCCGGGCCGGCACGCAACTATACTCGGCTGCTTTGGTCTACCAAGATGTGAGAGTCCAGTTTTCGATTCCTTGGCACAGATCCTTAACTCCTTCCTGGTTCTCGAACTAGGGCACACTGACTCCAATGGTACCAGGTGTCCCCCTTTCCTCTCAGGCGGACTGCATGAGATGTTCGCTCCGTCACCTGAAAGGGGCCCTTCCACCGGGGCTCCTGCCACTTCCTTTTAATAACCCTCAGCAATACCCACTCCGCAGTGGGGAGGGCTGGTTCCTTTAGCTCCTCAGTCGGACTCCGCTTGTTGTGTACCTGCTGAGTATAGTTAGACACCAATGCTTTTAACTCTTGAAAGTATACCTTATGGTCCATCTTACGATCCTCCTCACTGGTCAGTGAGCACGCATGTGGTCCAGGAAAAGGTCGACCTGTGGTTAACTCATAGGGAGAAAAGCCAGTTCCATTATTAACAGAAGTTCTTACTGTCATTAGTGCGATTCGTAATGCGTCAACCCAATTCAATTTAGTCTGTGCACAGATTTTACTTAATTTTTGTTTTATGTTCTGATTCATTCTTTCAACTTTACCTTGTGACTGAGGATGATACACGGTCCCAAACGCATGTTTTAGGCCTAACATTTTTTTCACAGCCTGCAGGTCTGTGTTTTTAAAGTGAGTTCCATTGTCTGATCTGATTTTTTCAGGGAATCCGTGTCTGGGAATGTAATGGTTAATCAGAAACTTAATAACAGTTTTGCTGTCTTCTCTTCTTGCAGGTATGGCTTCTGGCCACCCTGTGAGGGCATCAACACACATCAGCACATATCTGTAACCTTTAACAGGTTCCAGCATGTCAGTGTAATCTATAATTATCTCCTGTCCTGGCCTGAATAGGAGTGGAAATGTTCCTTGTTCCGGTTTAACAGCTGGTCGAATATTGTACTGTAAGCAAACTTTACAGGTTCCAATGTGTTCAGTTATCATATCATTTAAATGAGGGTGCCACCATTGTTGAAGATTCCTGAGCATTTGTCTGCTTCCCACATGAGCTAATCTCTTCTTTATAAACCTTATGTACACAGTCATGTGTGTGTGTTGTGTTCATTCCATCGGCCATGTTTATCCCTTCATGTAGGAATAATAAGTTTGGTGCGGCTAAAATGTTACTCATGCGTCTTTGTTTCAAGGA